CACCCGATGAACTTCATGAAGAAGAATGGATTGATAACTCCACGATGGAAAGTATTCATATCGGCACTAATGTAGTTGATGATACACAAGGTGAGGATTTCTTATTAAAAAAGAGCGATCTATTTGAAAGCAATGAGAAATTGACTCATGCGCTTTGTTTATGTGCCATCCAAAAAAATGTCAAGTTCAGACAAACAAAAAGCAATGCAACAAGCTATAATATAGTTTGTTTTTACCGTAAAGATGGCGAAGAAGAAGATAGTGATGGGCACCATGACGGCAATGCAAAATATTCTTGGAAGCTTAATTCATACTTGGGTGTAAGAGTAGGTAGTCAATTTAAAATAACATACTACAACGGACTTCACATATGTATCAATCTTCGATTAGAGATGAATCATAAATACACGTCCATCTCTTTCATATATCGATTGATTATACCTTAACTAAGGGAAGATCTTGATCTAAGGTCAAAGGATATTCGTCTTTTAGTTCATAAAGTGACCAACTTGGATGTATCATACAACAAGTGTTGGAATGCTCGGAGGAAGACGATGACAAAAATATTCGGAGATTGGGACAAATCTTATGAGATCTTACACATTATCTTGAAGCATTCAAAAAAGAAAATTCAGGGACAATGTATGAAGTATCATTAGACCATGTTGATAGCGGAGATAGATTGTTCACAGCTGTATTTTGGGCATTTGGACCTTGCATTGAGGGATTCAGATATTATTGTTCTCTTCTTAATATTCACGGCACCCACTTGTACGGTAAATATAAATGTGTTTTTCTTATTGCAACCGGAGTAGAGCAGATGGCGGTTTATTTCCTTTAGCGTTTGTAGTGGTTGATGTTGAAAAAACAAAAAATTAGGCATGATTTTTTGCATGCATTAAATATCATATCCCTAGTGTGCGAACGCGGTTAATTACATTCGTATCAGATAGGATGAAAGGAATTCCAATAGCACCCCAACGATATTTTTCGTCACCACATCAACATCGCTATTGCTTGTGACATATTAGGGACAACTTCAAGAGGAAGCATGGACAAGTGTAACTTCAAGATTTTCTTTGACAAGCTGGATGTGCAAAGGGAAAATTAGTTTATGAGCAACTACGGGAGAGGATTAAGTTTATTTCATGAGCTATGATTGGATCGAGACTAGTTTGGGTCCGAACAATGTTGATAAGTGGGTTTTATGTGAAGATAGCGAGAAACGGTTTTGTATGATGACCATTAATGCTTCTTAGAGTTTCAATGATGTGCTTAGGGGAGCACGCAGTATGCCAATACAATGATTAGTTGCAAAAATATTTTACAGACTTAATAAATTCTTCCTCAGACGACACACACTTGGTGCAAATATCCCGTCAGAGCTGACGCCGAAGGTTGAAGGTATATTAGCAGATCGGATTGTGCAGGCTTGATTATTTCGTGTCGTTAGATACAGTTTTAATGAATGGGAGGTCATTGAGGGAATATCACATAGAGAAAGTCGCTCTTACAAAGTTAATATGCTAGTGGATCACACTTGTACATGCACTTTTAATATACTACAATTACAATGGCTTCCTTGTTCCCATGTTGCCGTGGCTTGCTCGGATCTACAGGGTGGTGTGAGGATTTCACATTGTACATTCGCCACAGATTGGTATTCAACTTATAACTATCAACAAACGTACGAAGAGTGTTTTCGCCCACCATATGATAGTCGATATTAGACACAAGGTGGGCCACGGATATTACCTCCTTTGTATAAAAGATCAGCCAGGCGACCTCGTTCCGTACGAATTAGAATAATATGAATGACGATCGAGAAGGAATTAGGAGGAAAATTAAGTGTAACGTGTGCGATCAACCGTGCCACAACAAAATCAGTTGTCCAACTAGGATTAGACGTTGATTATCCGGGGACATTTGTATGGAATATATCGCTAATGGTTTTTGTAATATATAACCTTTAAATTTTAATCATTGCTCCCATGTGACAAACATTTTCATAATATATAACATTTTATTTTGAATCTTGAATATGTGACAATCGTTATGCATGTTCTATTCTTATTTTTCTTTTCTATGCTGAATATACTTTTTACTTAATTTTGGCCATCAAAATACATATGATTAAGTCATTCAACTAAAAAAATCTAACATATTGTATTTTTATCTCAGAGATATCCATTATGAATCCGGCACCGATGCAGCCCGACGTATTATACAGACAAATCATCGTTCACACAAGATTAGCTTGGGACAGGTAAAAAATGGTGTATATATATTCCTTATTTTTGGAGCTAGTTTTGATTTTTCTCAATAAAATTTATCAATTTTAATTAATGTGTAGCCCATACCAGAAACCACCATAGCGGACCATTCCCAGAGTCACTCGAGCTGGGAGATGAAGGATGAGCGAGTACTACAGTTGGAAGCTCAAGCGGGTTTTGGGAGTGTTCATCAATGAGGTATATTAGGCTTGAATGGGCTCTTATCAGTGCACTGATTGAGAGGTGGAGACCGGAGACTAATACCTTTCATATGCATATAGGGGAGTGTACAATTACACTTAAGAACGTAGCCATCATACTTGGGCTCCGCATCGATGGCCCGGTTGTTACGGGCACCGATGACCACAATTGGCCTGAAGTATGTGAGAGGCTTCTTGGGCAGGTTCCCGATTTGAGGAGTGGTGCGATGAAGCTATCGTGGCTTCGATCGATATTTATGGGAGATATACTAATTGATGCCACGGATGAGACGATTCAGTATCACGCCCGTGCTTATATATTACACATGATAGGGTGTATGTTATTTTCTGATGCGAGCAAGAATCTTGTACATGCACGATGACTGCCGTTACTAGAGGATTTTGATGTATGCGACACTCTATAAAGGGGTAGTGCGGTGTTGACATACCTTTATAGAGAACTAGGCAGGGTCTCCTTGATGCAGAATAAAGAATTCAAGGGATGCATGATATTGATGCAAGTATAATTATGCATAAATTTTATTCATATTGAATTTGTTCTCATATATTCTTTATGCATAATTTAATGCAGGTTTGGTCGTGGGAACACATTCATATTTGACGACCTACTTTACATGTGCATCGTGATCTATAGGGCCAGTTTCCTTTGGAATGCAGGTATAATTATGCATAAACTTTATTCATATTGAATTTGTTCTCATATATTCTTTATGCCAAATAGGTATAATGTGAGGTACTATAAATATAAAATAACGACTAGACATATAGACTTTTACCGAAATGAGTTTGATGGCCTTCAACACCAATAGGTAAATATAAAACTCAATTTATTATGAATATTTTAATTTTGTTGTAGATACTGATAAAGTTTTTTTTTAAATTCAGTTCAAGTGGATGCCCTATTCTCCCAGATCTCGATATGCATACTCTTTCACCTATCTGTCGAGATAGCGCTGCTTTGTGGAGAGCTAGAGTCCTGTTGATATGTTGGGAGATTGTAGAGATGCATGTCCTAGATCATGTGTTACGACAAATTCTTCTCTCTCAACATGTGTTGGATCCTATTGAGAAAATCGATCGTGGGCGATGGATGACATCACATCATACGGACTGGGTCGTATTCTGTGCGGCCTACATAGACAGGTAAAATAATAGGTGGAATTTCATACAGAATGAGAGAATTCCAGCTGATGGTTATACCGAGTATATGCGTTGGTATTGGAATATCACACGCAGATGGATAGGATGCGACCCACAACCAGCATCTGGATACGTACCACGCCCACCGATAGATAGTTACATCCCTAGTGCCATGATCGAGAGAAACTATGTAAGTTTTTAAACTAAATTAAAACAAAATTTCTTTTTTATTAAGATATTATTTGCTAAGTTGTGTATATATTAATTAACTCGCAGATCAATTCTTTTGATGAGATTGAGGCTAATATAAATATGAGCATATCAATGACATTCAGGATCTGACGGTCTTAGAGATCTTCAACAGGATCATACAAAGAATAACAAGCGTGTTCCATAAAAATCATGTCAACGAGTTTAAAGGCCGTTAGGACAGGTCACGCCAATTTGGTTAAGTGTACACGCGACGACATAGGACAGGTCAAAGGGCGGCACATGACGATGGAGCCGGTACTTCTCATGCGCGTGATGATGGAGTTGACACTTCTCAGCCTCATATACAACCAAATACTCAAACCATCGAGGCTCATCAGTATGGACAAATGGGACGGGGATAGGGTGGGGGGTGAGGGGAAGGGGTAAGAGAGGGAGAGGAAGGAGAGGAGGATTTTTGGGATGTATGTGAATTTCTTTTGTTCAAATTTGTTACTTTTGTGGATCGATTATTGTTTATATATGTGATTTTCGTGAGTATTGTTTGATTCATGTGTATTGTTGTGAATGAAGCGGAAATTTCATGTATATTATTGTGAATGAGGCGGAAATATGTGTGTATATTGTTGGGAAATTGTTTCCATGTATATAAAAAACACATGCACACATTTTGTGCATGTTTTTTTAAACCTGAGTCCCGTGGAGTTGCAGGCTGAATTCCAGAGAGCGATGCTCTCTGGAAATTCTGCCTGAAACCTCACGGGACTTGAAGTCTCGTGAAATTGGTGAAATTATAAAACTTCACGGGACTTCAAGTCCCGTGAAGATTTGTGCCTCCTAATCAACTTTGTTATCGGGGGCTTAAACTTCACAAGACTTGAAGTCCCGTGAAGTTTTATAACTTTTTTCACCAAATTCGACCCAGTTTCAGTCAACTGGCTGAAACTGGGTCGAATTTGGTAATAATTTCGAAATAGGCCATTTTTGACAATTAAGTTTCTAAACATGTAGTTTTTGAAAATTTGTCCTAATATTAAAAACCCCTGATATTCAAAGGTGAGGGGCAATATAATGTAGATTTGAAGGGTATATGAGTAACTCTCTCTTTCATGCTGTTGAAAGGGTTGTGTCATCAACAGAAGGTAGACATCTACAAAGATACCTAGGGGGGGAATAACAATATTTAAGTTTGTTTAATATCCAATGCATTTACCCTTCACGAGCTTAATGTTTGCTCCCAGATATCAGGACGAGCGTATAGAAAGAGTCCAACTCTCATCTCTCTCTCTCTCTCTCTCTCTCTCTCTACTTTCTCCCTCCTAGGGCTAGCATCTCTCTCTCCGGCGTCGAAAGCTTCAAATTTTCAGGTAATTAATTGCATTCTTTTTTATCCATCTTCAATTTGTTACAGCTCTCTTCAATTTTTTTGGGAAATTTCGGTCATTTTTAGCTAAAGCTCCTATCTTTGTTGTTATTGTCACGCGAATTTTACAATGCCGCTTGTAACTATAAGGGGAGTTCTGTAATCTCAAGTTGGGATTTTTATTGGGAATAAAGTTCAGATCTTTTTATAGTTTAATTTGCATTTAGATGTTGTTATTACAATCCTAGGGCTATCTACCTTATTAAGTTAACGTTTTCCATACTCTCCGGCTTATTTTTAGTCCTCCTTGCACCATTAACTATAATCACACAGCTTCTCTTAGCTGATGTATTTTGTAACACCATTGTACATGACCAAACAGTGACGGTTCCAGAAAAGCTATCTTGGGGTGGGGGCAGATGACAGGTACCTACTTACCCAAAATTTGAAATATAATATTATAAACCACAACAAATCGCTTAAACTTCCAATGGGCTAAAACTCAAATGCGGTGCTTTTAGATTATGGGGACAAATTGTAAATTTAAAATGCCTTAGGATGTAAA